ACCTCCCTCAGGGCCGAGTGGAGCGCGTCACTCTGCTGCAACGTGTCTGAAATGGCTGCAGAGGGGCACGGGGTCAGCGGGCACCCCCCTCCAGCCCCGAAGCGCCCGGGCATTGCTGCTCCCTGGGCTCTGCCACCAGGGAAGCGTGGAGGCTGGGGAAGATGCCCGGGGGACCAGCCCCCCCGTCCTGGGGCATCGCCATCTGCTGAGTTCGCCTGGTCTCGCTTGAACTAGACTTGACTCGTCCAGGATTTTTCGTGATCATCCTCCCTTCCCAGAGTGTGGCACTCGACAGCCTTATACATTATCTCGCCCGATTCCTGGGAAATAGTTTAGGCCAGAGTAACTGCCCCCATTTGGTGGAGGGAGAAAGCGAGGCCCGTGGGGACTCAGAGGCCACTCTGTTAGCAAACAGTCTTTCTTATATTCTTGTGACAGCCTTGGACAGGAATTGAGGCAGGGAGCGTGTCCTCATGTGTAGATGACAAAGTGGGGTCCCGAAAATTGGAAGCAGGAATGATAGCTCCCATAGGAGGGTCTTCTGTGTACCAGGAGTGGTGCTACATTTTCAAGGGGTCATTTCATTCTCTGAGATGGAGACCACAATGCCACCCATTTCACAGGTAAGGAAATGGAGGCTCAGAGAACTCAAGTTGTGAACTCAAGGTCATAGTCAGGATCTGAATCCCAGGAAGGTCGACTCTGGGGTCCAAGTTTGCATCACCGCTCTCTCCTGCTCTGGGAGAGTGAGCACGAAGTCCACAGCATGGCACTGGCGCACAGTAGGAGCTCAGGAAGTGCAGCCAAGAGAAGAGGAAACCAGGCTCGGTGCAAAGCCACCCAGCCACCTGATATAGAATCTGCTGTTGGGAGGGGGGCCCTTGGGTGCTTCCAAGTTGAAGGACTACCCTGCCCGCCCCATGCCACCCAGTCCCCTTCAGGGCCAGACTCACCATTGCTCAGCACGTCTTTGGTAACCCTGAGGACCGTGTTTGTCTCTGAGCGGATGCCACACACAGCGGCCACAGACAGAGCAGCCACACACCACGCCGTCCACATGTTGGCACTGCTCCCCTGCTGAGAGGACAGTGCTCACGTGGCCATGGCTGGGTGGTACCACCTAGTCCGCAGGTGGCACCAGCACCCTCAGCCAAGAGACGTAGCAGGATCCCGAGACCCAGGGATGAGAAGAACCTCCCCAGGTCACACAGCGAGGCAGGAGCCAGAATTCCTCAAGCCACCTTTGGAGTTTTTCAAACTGAAATGAATCTGGTGGTGCAAAACAGACCCACTCGCCAAAAATCCCTAGGCATGGGTGTCAGTTGATCTCCCGAGATGGGGTTTACAGGCGAAGACACGGGGAGGGGACAATGGGGATTCAGACGGAAACAGCAAGGCGCTGGCCCGCAGACCCTGGGGAGGCGTCTTCAAATCCACCCGTCCATTCACACATCCCCACCCAGCGACCCAACCACGCAGCCTCCTCTTCCTGGCTGCTCCCCCATCCACCTTTCTAGCTGCCATTCGCCCGTCGTTCCCACAGCCAGCCAGCCAGCCGTCC